CGAGAAGCATTTTGGTCTTTTAGTTTCGACGTTGGTTTTCGTGGGAGATTCTAAAACGTCGTCTAATGTGGGACAAAGGGAGTACATACTTTCATTTATGAGCAAATTATGGAGTGTGGAGACATATCTCTCGATAGGGTTTATTTATCCAGGGCAAGGCGGAGCTTAGTGTTGGTCAACATAATGGCCCCTCTGCCCAGGGTGATTCACCATTAGTGTTGTGCCTTATGACTTATGAGCTTGTTATGCTTGAAAGTAATCACAATTCATTGTCATTGATACTTGCACCCCCTCCGTTTTAGTCCAAGCTCTGCCACTTTTATATACTACTAGAATCTAATATTCAAAGTCTGTGCGCTTGATGCATGTTATAGCAACATTCTCCGATGACAATGGAAAGGAAGTAGAGCAATCAAACATAACGAATCACGAGAAAGGTGCAAGCAGTGACAAGCCCCGGCAACCGCAACTTTTGGCCCTTTGCTCTTTTGTTGCTATCCCTTTTCTTTACTTGTTTACTGGTTCTTTTCCATTGACTGGTTTGCTGCATCGCACTGCTTGCTAGTTGCCTCTTCTCTCCTGGAGCCTTACCTCCTGAGAGAGAAAAAAAAAAAAGGAATGCAAATAGAGCAAAAGACGACCTCCTCACATTTCCATCCACCCAATTTGACACAGTTTTTGGTGCTCCGCCAAAAGGGCCGGGCCTCCTATTTAAGAGGGCTAGAGGACACGCCCCTCTCCCAGCAGCCAGCACGCACCAAGCCATCAATCCATGACAAGCCATCTCAGCTGGCCCCGGCTACACTGCCAACAACACGCCATGGCCCTAGACACCTGCTCCTACGACTGTTGCGTGTCGCCTCCGCTGGATTGCTTGGACTGGGGCTCCGAGCTGCTTCACACTCGTCACTACACTCTCGGAGGAGCTGCAGCTGGAGCTGGAGGTGCCGCCGTCCAAGCAGAGCCCACCTTCTTCCCGGCGACGGCAACGCGTAAGTGCTCAGCTCTCAGCTGAGAGACAGGCATGCATGGCATGCTCTCGCTGCTAGACCTGCTACTGCTACTAGCTAGATGAGTAGCGGAGTAGTGAGCTGAAGTATGTAGCCGGCTTCCGGCTTCGTGCTGCCTGCAGCAGGTGTGCAGTCGCCGGCGTCGTCGGAGGCGTCCAGTGGCTACCTGCACGACGCCGTCGCTCACTGGAGCGGCCGTCGCAGCAAGCGGCAGCGGATGGCAGCGACGACGACGCCTCCCTCTCGGCGTCCGGCGACCGTCAGCGAGGACCTTCAGTGCCTTCTTGCGGTAAGTCCTACATACTATACCAGCATACAAAAATGGCAATGGTGTGGATATCGGTTACTCCTCATGTTGAATCACATAGATTGTAGAATGCAGAGACGGTGCTCTGTTCGCTTGGCTGATAAGCCATGGCTGAAAGTATCGTTGGCTGATTTGGTGTGAGAGAAAAATATTGTTCGTTGACTGAAAAAATACGACTTATAAACCAAGCGAACAAGGCGACACGCTAAACGGCTGATTTGTTCTTAATTTTGCTCCCAAGAATTTGCCCAATGCAAATCCATCTTCTGGTACTCTAGCCACTGTCGATATCGATTCACCAAACGAAGCGAAAAGCTGTAGCCTCGCCGTCTCGCTAAACGATAAGCATGCATGCATCGCACGCAGAGACAGAGAGCGCCACTGCGGGCAGTGGCCTTGTGCCCTTGTCCTCCTTTTCTTTTCTAACCTGTAGCGTCGCCGCTTGTCTGGTTGTTCTCGGCTTGCAGGGCTTCTGGGATTCTAGCGCCGACGCTGAGGAAGGAGGAGCAGATTTCCGCCATGATTTGAACACCACCGCGACCGCGGAGACGGAGATACGCTGCAGTTGTTTTGTCTCAGGTGATCCATTCGACACGTCCTTTTCAATACGCCGCACACATCGCCACACGGCCTGCTCTGCTCACGTTTCACAGTTCACTTAACCACTGTTGGCTACGCACGCACTCCTACTCCGTGTTAAATTAGCCACTTGTTTGTTAGTACGCCGATACTGCAAGCAGAGCAGGGTAAGCAGATAATGGTAGCAGTAGACAACAACAGCTACAGACAAATTAGTGGTTACTACAGTCGTACATGTTCTTGTCAGTTCTGACGCTGATCATCAGATAACCCTACAGTCGTACATGTTCTTGTCAGTTCTGACGCTGATCATCAGATAACCCATCAGCCAGCCCACTGGTGTTCAGCAATAGTCGCTGCCACTACTATTGCCTCCATACAAACAGTTGAACTCCTAAAGCTTAATTGCTGCGTAGCGAAGGTGTTCGGCAGCAATAGTCGCACTGCCACTACTATTGCCTCCATACAAACAGTTGAACATAAAACTTGAAACTAAAGCTCGGACGGGGCAGGTGCATCGGGCAGGGAGGAGCAGCAGAGGGGCCCCAGCGCGCAGGTGCAGATGCCAGCGCCAGCCGCAGCGGCGCAGGGCGGAGATGAGGAGGCGGAGGAGGCAAAGGCGACGGCGGAAGTCCCCCCTCCTCGCGTCCCCACCACCGTGCGAGCCGCTGCTCCCCCCCTGCAGCTGCAAACGGCAGCCGCAGCCGCGGGGGCGCCCCACGCGGCAGCGCGTCGCGACGATCGCTCGCGGCCCGTCGTCGACTTCTGCGACCGCGAGCACCCTTCCCGTGCGGGTGCGGCCGCCACGACGGCGCCAGCCTCTGCCTGCCCCTCGTCGCTGTCAGGTGGGTTGGGTACTTGGGTCGATGACCGGTGAGGAACCATTATTACTCGCCCGCGCATGTGTGCACTGCTGGGACGGGACGCTGACAGGCACTGGTGCGAGGAGTACAGACTACAGAGCAACAGTTGCAGTCGCTGCAACATGGCAATATTTTGAACGTATTGGTACCCAGCCAGACAAAGTGCCAAACTAGCTGCTCATGTCTGCGCAGGCTTCGGTTTATTCGTAACTCTACACGTTTGGCGTTCACAAACCTAAAGTTTGTTGAATTCTGTGACTATTTTTTTTACGCTTCGTTACTAAAATGCATGCGTTCGAATATGTTTCAGGGGAGGAGAAAGACAAGGAGAAGAGAGGCGTCGGAGTGCTGTACCCCTTTGCAGTCGTCAAGCCGCTGGGGTTAGACGACGGCAGCATGACGACGCTGGACGACGTCAACCAGCGAATCCTCAAGAGACCGGCAAGACCAGTTCGGCACCCCGTTGGCCCGTTCGCGTGCGGCCCCGCCGTGTCGGCTCACGGCCTGGGCCTGTCCGGCAAGGCAGTCGTTAGCCTGACCAAGATCAGGACGGGAGGAAACGGCACCATAACCATCGTTAGAACAAGAGGCTGATGGATGTGATCAACCATTTCCATTTTTTTTTTTTTTTAGGTTGCCTGCCTGTTGCTCAGGATAATCATGGTGCTTAGTAGCTGCGGATGTAAATACACCCTCGGGTTTTCAATGCAGGTTTCTGCCTTCTCTAGTTTAATAACTAGCTAAAAACACCCACTGCATTTAAATTGAATAAGCTGCAGCCTAGAATTTGCACCGTAGCACCGTTGTATCACGAGTTATATGACTCATGATTGTCAACATGACTTGCGTCTTGATTGAGTTGGTGAAATAACCATAGCATGAGTTATGTTGTGCAACATATCTCTTCTTGCTAGGCCGTCCCATTGCTCTCTTGGGGTCATAAGGGTCTTCGAACACACAAAACGGTGAACGCCAGATGTTGGGTGAATTAATCACACAAACAACAGATTTGAACACAAGTGTAAAGTTGTATTCATTTCCTTGATCGGACGGTACATGTTAGAGGAGGTATTTATAGAGGTCCCAGTCTTCGCAATTTGTATACAATTGACTATTATGCCCCTCTCTAATCAATACAACCCCTTTAAACTACAGGGGCGAAGTTGTCTATTTACTTTTTGAAACTTCGTTCTTCGCGTTATCTTGTCAATCCTCAAAGTTGCTTTCATCAGTGATGTCCTTGCATCTTTTGACTTGAAAGTCCCTGCACTGAATCTTGTTGTCTTCGCGTGTGAAGCGAAGTCGAAAAGTTGTCTTCGCACTTGAATCTCTTCACCTCTTTTGCTTGTTTCGAGCGAAGTCGAAATTTCTCCTTCGCTCTTGACTCCTGCAAGCAAACTTTGACATAAAATTTTGGTGATCAACTCCGAAGTCTGGGGCTGTGTTTTTTGGCGAAGTCAAATCCCTGACATCATGCGAGGCAGTTCCAGGATCTTCATACAAACCAGATTAATACAGAATCATGTATCTGTTTCGTCTTCTAGGAGTATCTCGTAGATGTCAGTGCGGATGTTTAGTTCCTTGTCACGCATCACTTCCTGTAGATCTGACAGCTCCTTCAATGTCAGAACCGAGCCTAACTTTTGGAAACCATCAAGCCATAATCTTTTAGACCTGAAAATTTTAGTGTTACCATTGATAAGGAATAGACAGTAGAAACTAAAATGAGCAACCACAGAAGGACCCAATTATCATTCAGATCTGACCATAACAAAAAATACAGATAAAGGAATAGTCAATATCAGATAATGACAGCTGCCAAAAGAATTTATAAACAGGATGAAACTAAAATGCATTTGGTGTCCTCAACGTTTTTTACAAATCACATGGGAAGTAAGGAATGCAAAAGCTGCAACATGTCCCTAGCAAACAGTTCATAAGCTGCTCAGGTATTGTGACAACATAAATTAATAAAAAAAACATAGCCTTTCAATCCCAAGCAAGCTGGGGTAGGCTACAACATAAATTAATAGTGACTGCATTTTTTTTCTTATACAGGAACTTAAAAGGAAATATCATCCTCTAATAAGATCAACTTTTCATGGTCCAGTATCAGGAGAAATTGTAGATCAAATGCCATAACAATAAAATAACTTCGTTTTTATTCAATTGACTACATAACAATTATTTAGGAGAAGTGGAAAGGCAGACATAAAACCACACCAATATCAAATTAGAACACTACATGTCAGCATCATACCATGGACAGGCATGTATAGCTCTGAAGAACACACGCCGTGCTGCAGAGGAGTTGCAGGCTATTTCTGCCTCATAGGCTAGATAACAGCGCCACAACAGAACAGACTTCTGCAACTTATCATCAGCTAGAGCTCTCTCAAAGAGGCTGTGTATTCTATTGTCAGATCCGGCTTTACTCCATTCAAAGGACAAAGCAAAGAGCAAGGTGATTACAGAAGGATCCCTGTTGCATTCAAATAAAAATAACAAAGTCAAAAGGCAGGTATACAACAATAAATAGGCTTCAAGATATTTAGTGGAAGAAAATGCACGTATCACCCATGAAAACTGCATACAGAAAACAAGGCTATGCCATAATGAAAGCTGAATAGACAAAAGAAGTTGGAACTTAGATACAAAAAAATTTCGTGGAAAGGAGGATCACGTTCACCTTTATTTGCAATATTATTGTTTCCGAAAGAAAAACTTTCTGAAAGTGAAGATATGAGGCAAGTAATAGATGGTAAACAAAAAGAAAGAGGTTTCTTCAAAAAAAAGAAAGAAAGAAAGAGAACAATATGCATTCGGAAATGAACTTGGGAACTCAGATATGAAGAGAATTAATATGGAAAAAAAGGTGGAAATTTCACCTTTGACTACATTTGTCGAGTGTGAGACGGAGATTGTTGGATACACTGTAAAGATAGCTCAGGGTTAACATGGCTGAATATGACTTTGGATTGTAGGGATATTTGTGCACTCCATGTGATACGCTTGGCCAGACCCTTGATAGACTCAATCGGTTAAGATTTTTCTGAAGCAGTTTGATGTAGTACACCCACAAATCCTCACACTCCAAGTTATGACTGCTCTCTGAACCGAACAGATATACAATTAATATAAGAGAATTTACAAATTGAAAATTTCGGCAGAAGAGAACAAATTTGCAATTCACAGACATTGTGCAGCAACAGAAAAATTAAAGGGTGTAAAGGTGAAAAATAACAAAAACAGAAATTATCAAGGACATAGAGTACTCTAAACGAATAGCACAGCACAAAACAATATAGAATTTACACAAGTATGAGTGGCTACAGTGCAATGCAACAACTAAGTCCTGACTCTGACTGTCAAACCAGTACAAGAGGGATTAAACTTGGTTCATGCAGATAAAAAAAATTATGTAGTCATGTACAGTAGCCAAATAGAAGCTTAAAATAATGCCACTGAAATCTAACAATATAAGAAAATGAGAAGTATGCTAGACCTGAAAGTGCCATTGGGAAGGTCTCCTCTATCACTTCAAGCCCCGAGGAACAGCCTGTTGTCATGCTTTCAAACAAAGAAGCTGAGCAGATCAGAGCAACTGATTCTTCTTTTATACCACCACAGGAAAATGCAGATTGTAAGCTTCTAATCTGCTCTTTAAACCCTTGGCGAGCCTTCAAGACCTGAAGCCTTGAAATAGGGCCAACGAAAGGGGAATATTTTAGATTGCTCCCTAAGCAGGATAGGATGTAAACTGCACGATGCATTGAGTCAGAGTTGTTTCTTGAAGCGGACACTGTTATCTCCATCTCAGCGTACCAAAGATAAAGGATCAGAACCTTCTTCCTAAGATCCTGCCCAGCAAAGGCAATGATCATCAATCATAAATGAGATTGAGGTACAATTAGTACAAACAAAATTATTCTACTTGAAATAAAGGGACTTGACCATGAAGCTAGTGGCATCTGTAACTAAAATAACAGTGTTGCTGATATAGCTGACCATTTGCCAACAGAATTACCTCCTTAAAGAGATTTACTCCCTCCGTTCCAAATTATAGGTCACTTCAGCTTTGTCCTAAGACAAAACTTCTTTAACTTTGACCAAGTTTATAGAAACAATACATCTAAACAACTTAGCTTCATTAAATTCTCCATGAAATATCTTGATAGTGCATTTATTTGAATTTGTAGATGGTAATATATTTTTCTAAAAACTTGGTCAAAGTTAGATAAGTTCGACTTTATGACAAAACTGAAGTGATCTGTAAGTTTGAACTGAGGGACTATTCAAGAGAGCAGAAGACACACTATCATCAAGATACTTAAAGCTACTTTGTCTTCCTACAGTCAAAATTACTTGTTAGCTCCGTAAAAGAAAACAACGAATGAGCTAGTGCTTTAGTATTTTAGATAAAGCTTGCCCATGTTAAGTGTATACCCATCTCCCAGATATAACTAGCAATAAACTATACAATACTACCAATAAACGTCTTTTGGTGTAAGAAAAGGTTACCGTGTAAATCTAGAATGGCATCAAATCACAAATCAAAAGAAAATTCCTAAAGTGACATATTTTGGACTGAGCACAAGGTTGTTACCCAGACAATGACAAAACCTTAACAACAGGAACCCATGCTTGTAAACATGCATTCAAGAAACAAACTATGCTAAACCAGAAGCATTGCACATTACGTACCACTCCCTCTCATGTGCGGGTCTGGGGAAGGGTTCAGTGGCAAGCCTTACCCTCGCTCAGTGCATAGATTGGTCAAGTAACTCACCGCTGCACCAGGCCCACCCTTCAGCAGCATTGCACATTACAACTGCAAATTCAGGAAAGGATAATTGGAAGTAACCATGTGAGCTTCCTTAAAAATAGATATAATAGTTCATAGTTTTACCTCAGTAGTTGCTTCAGTTGATAACAGTGCTGTGTCAAATATCTTCCTTGCTTGTTCAATGTTCCCATTCATTGCCTCAGTTCGTCCATATATCCCACAAAGCAAAAAATCCTGCCAAACAAACAATTATGGTAAAAAAATTTACACCAATCATCCATTAATGGGTTCATGTGAAATTATCCCAACCAAAGCATGTTGGTTCAGTTTTTACTGGGTGAATGCAAGCTCTCTTTTCAGAAATAAAAACATGTATAGAACTGGAAAGAAGCACCTAGAGAATTATTAGTACAATTAAATTTTAAAGAAGATGTAGGATGGAATTCTATCACAAATATCTAAATGCATTTCTTATTTTTAGTTCCAAAAGTGCATGATGTGTTCAGTCCATGAAGCGATGCAGATTACACTTAATACTACCAAATGACAAACTAATCAAATGAATAAGCTGGTCGAAAAATGACAAGCACGTTATTGTCTTCTGTAGCTAGCTAACCACACAACTAGGCACTACAACCTGAGTTTTAGCATGTTACACTCCTCAACAAAGCAATGCAAGAAAAAAAAAAGAACAAATCATACCTGTCTGTCTTTCTTCAACATACTTTTGGCCAAAGCCCGTGATGCATTAGCTTGAGTAGAGGAAGAGTTCTCTTGAGGAGTAAACGTTTGGGTAGTAACAAGAACAGCTTCCTCCAAGACATGATTACGAGGGAAAACACCAAGCAGAAGCAGTATCGCATTTCTGAGAAACTTCATAAGGCCCGGCCTTTGTGAAAGGTCATGCATGCTTCCCAGTAATGATTCCAATTTATAACTATATGAACTTTGGTTCTTGTTTACAACGTCAGATACAGCACTTAGATCTTCCAGGATGTCATTTGTAATCATCTCTAAGCTCAAAATTCTATCGAGCCAACTCGGACTGTTTGTGGATGTCCTGGAATTTAAGAATTAGTGGTGAATTCACTGACCAATAATAATATCAAAGTTCATAACTGAGGAAAAATTACATAGACAGTTGTTGGCTTGGCTCTGTATGTCACTACTTTAGATTAACATATGTTTGCAAAGAGTTAAAACAAACAGAAGTAACACTATACAACCAATACTCCAGCACATGACATGAACAAAATAATTAGTAGGGACCAATAAATAGCTCCTGATATTAGATAATATATTGTCATATCGTAAGCAACTAGGGATACCATTACATTCTATTTAGGATCGTGGACTAAAAATGAGAGTATGTAAATTTGTAAAAGGAACTGGGTTAATTTAAGAATAAAAGCATCCAATTCCAATTCAAGGAGGACCCGTACCAGGGTGGTAGGGCGCCTCCCACCAAATTGGCAAATGGCAAGTTCAATTCCTTTTGCACATATCGGCTGACCATAAAAAATGGCTGAAAGCATATCACCATGGCTTATAAGGAATGGGTTTCGACAACAAAAACTGAACTACATGCATGACATATGCACTATGTTATGGGGAAAAAAGAGTCATTGATACAATATATTAACTTTGTGTTTGAACACATCTCCAGTGAAAGAATGTCTTGACTAATTTTCTGTTGTGTGAAGAGGATGATCATAGCTTATATAAGCAAGAAAGTAAGAAGAATACCATCTTGAGATTTTGCCACCATAAAAATCAATAAATTGGCATATGAGAGAAAAGCGGGCCTCCTCTGAAGATAGCGAAAACAGGAACTCAGATACATCCTCAAACAAAATTATTCTGGAAAGCTGGTCATTGTCTTCCCCAGATGGAGCATCACCAGAATGAATTGATCCTATTTTTATAAAGTAACATCCAGTGTTAGCATTAAGTTAACTTCAAACAAAAAAATCTAGTAATAATTGAGACAAACTCCGATTACCAGATTTTTCATGAAGAGGCATCCATTGCTCATTGTCCCGTGACAACTCCATCGAGGCCCATCTATTCCAGGTTTCTGCATCTTTAACTTCACTATTGGACTCTGCACCTACATCGATACCAAGCTTTTTCAGCAAGGATTCAACATCATCTTGTGCAGGTGAGTCCTCAGCATCAAGATCTTCGGCATCATTTCCATCGTTCAATGATGGTTCCAGTGATTTGTTTGACAAATCATTTGCGTCAGTATTACCCACAGAAGGATCAAACCAACCACTCCAGCCTCCTGTTTCAGTCTCTTGTGAATTTTCTTGCATAGACAACTTCTGTCTACTCTCCTCATCTTTTGCTAACCATTCAGACCATCCAAGAGCTCCATCTTCCCCTATTCTGGCACCGCCACTGTTCCAGAAGTGTTCAAAGAGCCTTTGCTTACTGCTTGTCGTCAGATACAGAGGAGGGGCGAATAAGCTAAACTCCATTTGCGCCTGAAATAGCCCAGTTGCTAATTCCCGATGTCCTGTCTGCCACTCAAATCGGCACAGATTAAAAAATATATCCACTAACCCCACTTCTAGCTGAACTAAGGAAGAAGATTTGGAATCCATGCTTTCATTATCCTGTGTACAAAAAAAGAGAGAAACCATTAGCAATGTTTCATAGTTCGTAGGGGTATGGGAAATAGACAAAGTAATTTACAGAGAAACATTGAAGTTAAACCTGCCTACATAGCTTGGTGCAAGCTGCAGATAGAGCCTGTACAGCATACACGTAGGACTTCCGAATTTCAGAAACTTTGAATCTGGAGAATTCCCCTTGGCACAGAAGCAGATACTGTTTCCACAACTTACAGCTATCTGGGTGCTTCGTAAGTATTTGCTCCCATTTAGCCAATAGAGTCTCAGTGCTGTCCCTCTTGCCATATGACTTCAGAAGGCAAAGCAATAATTCCTCACTATCTGGATTAAGCTCCACAGCCTTCTCCAATATGCTAATTTTCCTTTCGGTAGTTTGTAAACGAGCAGCCTTTTGTGGCTGAGTACTAGCAACTTTGTCCTGTAGTTCAGCGGCAAAGGAAATTACAGAACAGAAGTGTGAAATAATGACTGAAACAAAACTCTAGTGATGAGTCAAAATTGTCGAATTTCATTTCTAAGAACAAACTATTTGTCCCAGAATGAAGTGAGCAAAATAACTGACAATGTAGCACTAAGGCAGAATAAGCATAGCTTCTTGCAAGAAACATCATAAATAAAACCATAGAAATTCATGATACCTGAAATTGAGCAAAGGCCAGCCAAACTTTTTCATCGTGAGGACGTTCACGAGACATCTTATTGAATTCCCTAGTCCGATGAAGTATTTCATCTTCCCAAGATTCCTCTAGCTCCTGTTCCACAGCTGTGCTTTTCACAGGAAGGGACTGTGTATCAAAGGGGACAAAATCTTCAGCAAGCATTACAGAGGTGTTTCCCTTAAATATTTTCAGATGTTTGAAACCCTTATTTCTTTCAAAAACTGCATTTTTTGCTGAATAGTAACGGCCTCCAGCTCTAACTTTGTTATCCATTCCATCCAAGTCTGAATCAAAATCAATATGTGATGAACCAAACCTCAAACGATTTAAACCAAGTGCCTCCAGCATGTTCTGGGATCTGTAGCGTGCAACATCCATTCTGCAGATGTCCTTGAGGTGTTAGACTTCAGTGAATAGCATGTCAAGATGTGCTAACAAAACAAGTTCAAGTAAACAAGACTGAAACAGAAGATTTAAGATCTGGTAATAGTTATTAGTCATAGGTAAGTAATGATATTCTAACCAGGCCATGAAATGAATACACAAATTTTTGTAGCTTGGTGGTAGTCCAAATATTACAAGCTTTAATTGGGATTCATGTTATACACTTGCCCTCATTGGTGCTAACAATTCCAACTATGGCAATGCATATTTCTCAACCAAAGGGGGTTCAATGATATGATGATTTTGGAGATTGTGACTCCTAATTTGTGTTAAAACAAACTAGGGATGAGAAATCCAGTGCATCAGTTGGAGATAGAAAGTACCAAGTCTATATAAAAAACCGGAAATGTCAGTAGCTAAATTTGTGCTATTTTCTGACATCTATAGAAGACAATAAGCTATACAGTAGTGTTAAAGGTTGATCAAATCAATTGTTGCAATACTCCCTCTGGTTTGCACATACTCGATGTTTTGGACAAGGTTTGAGTTAAACTTTTAAAGTATCTTGTTCAAAATTTTGAAGATCATATGTGTCAATTTGCCTTGAAAGGTACATTTTTATGAAATCATAAGTTTTTACAAGTTCATTTATATTCTAATAATAGAAAATAGTGGTCAAAGTTATGTATGGAGTCTGTGCCATTGCCCAAAACCTCAACCATTTGCTTGGAGGGAGTAATTTAAACAGAGTTTACAGTATTCGTATTATATTGTTCTGTGGTACAATTTCAAGCTCAATTACTTCATATAAACATGCTGTAGTGTTACCAACGATGAAGACATGGTGCGTCATATCATTATGTTGATTCAACAGCCTTTGAAATAGTCTGATATTAGATTATTCTAGATGTATCAAACACAAGTACGGAATGTGCAAAAATTGCACAGAATGAACCATGGTTTGCAAGTCATCATTCTGGGTTTAGTGGAGAACATTTCAGAATCTCATGTACAAATAACTGGGCCTAGGATTTCAGACAACTTGGTTAGCCTAGGGCAGGTCTCTACTTAGTGCGACGTTTTGAAATAATACTGATGCTGAGACATTTGATCTCACACTATCTGAACACGTCATCATGTTACAAATAAATAACTTCAGCAAACTAAAAGCGCAGCAAAATTATTATTAAACATGAATTCAGCACCATAGTTTTGCTACAGGACAGAAATTGGATTTGTATGCTGCATTAAATAGTTCACGATCAGACCTGTAAAGTGATCCAAAAGCCAGGTTATCATGGTCGCCCTTCGCGTCGACATAGTAATCCTTAGCTGGCTTCGTCTCCGAACCAGCCCAGGCGCGAACCCCAGCCTTCCGCGACGCCGCTGCCCCATCATAGCGCCCCTTCTTGCGACTCCGTTTCCTCCTCCCACTCTCCTTCATCCGCGACCCCCTCTCCTCGTCGGAGGATGGCGACGAAGGCACCAGCTCGTATTTCGCAGGGGCGGGCTGCAGCGGCGTGTCCTCATCGGACGAGGGGCTCAGCGGCGGCGGGAGCGACGAGGAGGTGGTAGCCGGGATATTCAGGGAGGAGGCATCAAAGGAGAAGCTAGGGTTTGAAAGCCACTGGGATTCGGCGGTGGGAGCGGAGGAGGTGGAGGCGGAGAGGGGGAAAAGTGGGAATAGAGAGGATGACACCGTGGGCGGGTATGTCTCATGTCCTTCGCCAGCAGCGGGTAAGGTGTCCGTGGTGACCGGCGGCGAAGGCTCCGGCGAGGGCTCCATGGCGGGTGCGAGCTGTCGAGCGGGAGGGGGGCGCTTGCCGCTGGGGTCCTCACCTCTTCGGGGACCGAGCGATGAGGCTGCAGCGACTGACGAGGTAGACTGGTGGAGCCGAGCGGCCTTTGGTATATGGGCTTCTTTTTACTTCATCTATATGGGCCGACCTTAGATGCAGCGGAGAGACGTACAATGAGCTGTGAAATAACCTGGGCCAAAATTAGATAGATAGAGAGGTTGAGGGCCGAAAGGGGGGCTTATATTCCATCGAAACGCAGCCTATGCCCCTCAAAAAAAAAACGCAGCCTGTGGCATAAATGTAGTATTATCTTATATTATCTTATATTTCAAAATGACTTTATGCTAATTTGATATATAATAAAACTGGAATTGAGGGTATTTCTGTACCTGCACGTTATTATTCAACCAATTGATCAGCAGAATGGATTTTTGATCCAGCTGTCTCGACCATATGGTTCCTGGGCAGCAATGTGGCCAGTGGTCTCCAAGTTTTGGTCAAATGGGAAAATATCTGAGAATTTGAAGTATACAGAGAAAGGAAGAAATAATTTTAAAAATAGCAGAACAGTACTGCAGTAACAAATTTGTACTCCTACAATTAATCTTTTTCATTAATTGTCTTCAAGTTAGTGATACTGAACCTGCACGATCAATGGCTAATAAATATTCTATCCATTCTGAATTATAGTTCACTTTAGAATTATGCTCAGTTAAACTCCTTTTAATTGTGATCAAATTTATAGAAAAAATGCAGCAACGTCTGTAATATAAAAATAGTTTCATTATTTTTCTATTAAACACTTATTAATAACACATTTGTCTAAATTTATAGATATGCTTAGAAAGTTGATCCACACAAACAACATGAGTAGCTAAATTCATTCGTATTTTATTAGGTATAGATTTTTTTTATAAACAGACTTGTTTATTTGTTTGATTGTATTATCTTCTGTCCAGGCGCCTCTGTTGTATCCATCAGCATTAGCTCCAATGGCTTGGAGTTGTCATCTTTTTTTCTATTCCGATCTCATGATTGCACAACTTCAGCCGAGACCAGATGAATGTACCATCGGTGTCATCTTGTTGAGCTCAATTGTTGGACAAAATCATTTTTTCAAGACTTATAAATTACGACACTCCAAACCTAGAAACTAGATGGTTTCTATGTTCATTAATTAGGATGTCAATTAAGTAAACGATGACATGCCATTGTAATTAAAGAAGTGAGTCAAGAGAAAACAGTTTCTTAGACAAAAAAAACACTCGAGACGAATACATGATTGGACAAAAAATCATCTATCGAGAATATGGTTTCTATGTGTAGTGTCTACATGACTCATATAGCAAGTATAGGGTTGGGACTGTCCTTATCTATTTCCTTAACACTCTTCAAAAAATTTAAAATTTAAATTCAAGATCATCTTTTTAAAATTTAGATTTCAGATCATCTTGTAAATCGTAGGTATGTGTATCATGGAATTAAGGTGCTCGACGAGAAAAGTGTGCGGACATGGGTTTCCTTCCTCTGACCACTCTAGATTTGGATAAATGGAGATGACTTCCGTGTTTATACATGACAACGTTCACTTCAATTAGCAAAGTTGGACTAAAGTTCTCCCACTTCATTTTCACACATGAATGGACCTTTGAGATTTATTTGGAATTATTAAAAAAATTCTATTGGGACAAGCCCATATATTCCAACAATCCCGCACCGCTAGATCATTATAAAATCTAACTATACACATTCTTTTTTTATTACTAATCTCCTTAATTTTAGACCTTCTCGATGAACATGGGTGATCCTTTTAACATTGTTAGATCTGATATAGAACAAAATTAAAGTGAACTGTAATTTGGAAGCAATGGAGTTACATCTTAAAAACCATCATCGCTAACTCGCTATCATTGTTTCGGGTCTTGACACATTACTTGCATTAATAGTCAAAAGGAAGGGATGTTATTCTCAGGGGAAAAGCAAGGGACGCTAGGGTCAGTGTGTCACCATAAGTAAGTTCTTCAAAAGACATCTCCTCATTTCCTCTCTTTTTTTTTGGTCTAGTTTATTGGATTTGATGGGAATCCCCTACATGTTTCTGGATATCTAGTCAGATCATATTAGCTCTGCTTATATTTGACTAATGAAATTGAACACATGTGGTGTCCAAAGCTGCTCTGCAGGTAACGGCAAATGTGTCTCCACAACGTGATCCGTACTGAGGATCTCGGTTCACCCCCGGCCCTCATTAAACAAACTGCATTTTTCTGGAGCATGACTGAGACCTTGCAGGGTCTAGCTATAATGCGTGGCTTAAATTAACAAGACTGGAACCATCACACAGAAACCATAAATGCCTCAAATTACACATCAGTAGTCCATGTACTCCTGTACGTGTTTCAAGTGAATCCGCCTTTTTTTTTGGTCAAGTACAGCTGTTGTACCGATGAGTTGCAAAGACCGCTCCATTTTTAGCGCGTAATATTATGGCAATCAAATTGTATTGGATATTGTCTGACGAAATGACAGCGACAATAAGGTACTATTCTCGAGGAGAGTACAAGACAATCAGGTGACCCTCTCCTCCCTCTCATCCCCATCAGACCAATGTTTTTCTATCGCATGATAAGAGCATGATTCTTCTGAAGATGGATGCGTTAGGCCATGTACAGTGCACAGGCTCTTACAGAGACGCTTAGTGGGAGAGAGAGAAAATTTCGTCAGCAAGCGTCTAAACTTAGAATGGAAGAATAAAATAAAGGCGCTTAGCTCGTCTGGTACAAACCGTTTTGTGCGGCAGCGAAGCACCCGTCACCGCGGTATCGCGCAAGAGCTCCTCTAGGCGTCGCTGCTTCACGGAGCGTCGCTGCCGTCCTCAAGCGCCTGATTTGATCCATCCTAGAGTACAAGCTGGCAAAATAACAGCCCAACGGCCCATAACTGTCCATAAGCGTCGACCATTGTACAGGCCCTTACGGAAACAGTTTATTGTCCAAATTCAGAACAGAAGGGCCAACAGGATCTCCGGCAAAGTGGCAAACCCGCGCTATCTCGATCGAGTGCCTGCCGGCGGCATCTGGTCGTGTCGCTGACTCGCGTGATCGCGTCGCCGATCGCCTGAAAAGGGAAAGGAAAATGACCCTCGGCCCGAGCAAACCTGAATCCTCGACCCGACACGGGAACCGTGCTGAGATCTTGTCGACCTGCAAGGGAGATTCACCGGTCATCGTCGAATCACTTTGCAGTCCGGGCGTCCGGCGGAGCCTGCGGCCGCTGCAGGCCTACCGCAGCGCCATAATCGCAGTCGCAGTACATCCAGCAAGCTTAAATCATATCACTATCATGGATTCATGGAGTAATTAACCGTGGAGCGGACTGGAGGAATGGACCAGGCTGCATGTCCTCTCTGCAACATGTTGGCGACGTTCACAGGCACCAGGCAGTCCTGCCCTTGTGGACTGGACCGTCCAGAGGCTGGAGTAGCTCGCTGATTATATAAGCACTCATTCAGGAGGACGGCAGCAGCTCATCGGCCTTGCAAGCCGGCTAGCTGCCCTGCCCTGCCCTGCCCTGCATGCCCATGTCGATCTAGCTGGGAGAGTTAAGGGGGCTTGCATGGCTATTGGCCGCTGGATCACAGCTTAAATGCTTAATTGACGCCGAAATGTAGTACGTACCTAATGCTGGTGTCTGCTGCTGTATACGTGTATGATGCATCCAGCCATGTTGAGTCCATCATCTGGGACCAGTATGTTGCATGTAGTACATTACTTGCGTGTACATTTCTTGGCATGATGCATGATCATTACTTGCAGATTGCGTTGGATGGGTCCACAAACCAGCTAGCTAGCTTCCTGTCAAGGGTAGCTGAAAGCCTGAAAGGCTGTCTGTTTTTTTCTTTCTTTTCCTCCTTTGCCCTCCAAAGAAGCAGGCTTAATCATGAGTTTTCAGCTGTCGCCTTCACTGTTCGGACATGCCATTACACTGCATGCAATGGCAGTGGCTGTGTTATGGCCCTGCAAATTATTCATAGCTGGTCTGAACTCTGAACTCGAGCAACCCCAAACAAGTCTTGTTTATCAAGCTAGATATTTTAAAGGCCAGGTATTTCAAAGGCTTTGGACACGATCAGTTTTTTTTTCCGCGAACGTGCGACACGATCAGTTGGCAATTCTTGCTAGAAGTTTTCTGACCTTAATTGGGGTTTAGGCGTTTAGCTTGAAGTGGATAGGCTGGATTTCTTCTATCCTAGCCATGTCCTCTTCACGAATCCTTACCAATGATCAATGATCAATCAGGAAGGAATATTAAACAGCTAGGGAGTTGCGCCAAGGGGATCTATTATTGCCGTTTGTGTTCATCTTCTGGCCAGTTGGCGGCCAAAAGGGCACTATGAATCCAGACCTTCCAAGAACAGTGAACTTTATGCTGATGATGTGAACTTCTTTGCGAACATTAGATGCAAACGAGCTCAACGGCCTCAAAAAATTCTACTACATCTGTTTGGGGAGTGTTCAGGTCTCAAGACCAAAATGTCAAAAACAGAATTTTCCCAATCAATAGTGGACAACAGCGTGGTGACTTCACTCATCTAAAACTTCCTTGAAAAGATAGGAAAAATCCCAAGAAAATATTTAGGCCTCCCTTTGCACACCAGAAATCTGAGGAGTGGAAATTTAACCGTTGATTGATTGCCGAGATGGAAGGGAAGATTGCTATCTACTTTAGGATGTGGGACACTAGTGAAGACGGTCAGCCTATTTATCATCGAACATATATTTTTTTCCGGATCATTTAAGATGAAGCTTCTTGTGGCGAGGTGAAACCCTGATAAGGTTTACGGAGGTCACTCATCAATTGACCAACAAAATGTCTCCAAAAAAATAGAGGTTTTGAATTACAAACCTAGAACATTTTGACAAGGGCTTTAAAGCTAAGGTGGTTGCGGGTCCGATGGAAACAAAAAGGGTGGGCCAGAGTAATATAA